CACTTGATCATTGATGACATTAGACGTTATTGTCGCGGATATCGACGATAGTTACCTACGACTAATACCCGGGTAATACGATATTTTAATGTTATACCGTTTCGGTAATGTAGGTTAGCAGGTTTCGAGACGAGTGTCGCGTTTTATATACTATATTATACTTGCGCTTACGTCTGTGAGTTCGCATTTCGGTCTCTGCACCGGTGTACAACTTTTAGAAAGCATAATATATTATAGGTAGGTACTACTTATTATTAGTATCGAATATCGCGAGAAAATATGCGTGAAAAAAAAAACAAAATCCATCATGTCGCGGCGTTTTTCACATTCCCCATACACTATTTGTAAGGCAATATACATCATAATATAGTTCTTTCGAAACGCATAATAATACAGCACAGTCGTTGTATATCATACCGCAATATCGTGCCAGACGCAGAATATCGAAAGTTTCTTCAGTATGGGTGCCTATGCCCTATTGATACGAATAATAATAATAATAATAATAATATATATTACACGGGTACGACTATAATAGATCACAGACGGATCTACATAATAATGGATCCATGCTCGACGATGGTGGCAGCGGCGTCGGTTTCGTCACGATTTTTTTTTTTTCGATTGCTCGCGGCTGCAACGGCTGTGTATGGTGCAGGAGTGTGTATAGCAGGGCTATAGGTGAAACCTTCCAAACCTTACACTCCGCCACAACGACGCCAGATTCGATGGCCAAGCTTTTTCTGCGTTTTCGCAAAATTAAATTTAAATAATTATATTATAACTATATTTACCCACACCGCGAGCTATAACACATGTGTAGGTACACGTGACTACTATTATTGTTGTTTTTGTTGTTGTTGCTGCTGCTGCTGCTGCTGCTGCTGCTGCCGAGCTGCTGCGCTAGGCACGTCTCTATATATATATTTTATATGTACCAACTTGAGACACTATTTATATATTATATTATTAATTTTGACGGCTCGCCGACGTGTCGAAAACCACAACGCGAGAAAGTCTCTAGTGCGACGTGTCTCGACGGCGGTCAGATCCGACACCTGTTTATTTATATATTACTATTATTTTGTACACCACGCGAGTATAATACCTATAAGTAATATAATTGCACTCCGTTCACATGTAGGAGAACTTTTGAAAGCGAAAGTTTACGAGCACGTATCGAATTATATATGGGTGTAATATTATAATATTCCCATCAATTTTTTTGGGCCATCGGACTAAATCGTCAGGCTGTTGTTGGTGTGATATCTATATAGAGAGGCGATCTTAGATAAAATAATTGAATCTAAAATGTAACTATTCAAAGGTGATAAAATCCATTTCGGACCAATACAAATATATAAAACGACTAGCTATCCCACTCGACATCGTCCAAGCCAAAGAATTGTATTTTTAACAAATATATTTGTACAAAATGTTTATTTCAATTATAATCTTAATATAATATGTGACCGATTGCAACCATTTAGATCCAATTGTGAATCTAAATTGTCCAGGGAACCACTCGAACACACACAAAAAATATCATCGAAATCGGTCAAACCGTTGAGGAGGAGTTTACTGATATACACACGGACAGAAGAAATATATAAAGATTTGACAAAGCTTAATTCTCGGAGGAGAGCCCGACTCATTTTATTATTTTCAACAGCCAAATAATAGTCAAACATAACTTGCATGAGTTCAGTAAAAAAAACTCGTCTCCATATCTCATTTGTTCTTTTTTTATTCGTCTAAAGCTCGAGAGCACCTCTAGGCGCTATATATTATGATGTATTACAATTTACAACCTATGGGAACACAATAACTACCTATTGTTGTACCCACGCGCAAAACAACTATCTAATCGTTCCGTGAGAAAATCGCGAAAGCGATGGCCAAAGTTATGAATGATGACACTCAGCTCACCAACAAACCTATCCATATTATATATTATATATAATTTATATATTATAAATACGTCTCGAGCCGCAGGCGGAAAAAACTGCTAGATAAGAGAAATATTTATTAGAAATTAGAATATGTTATTATTTTGACCCGCAGTACCTATATACACGATTTAGCGTATTTACGTAAGTCATTATGTGACGCACTGGCGTAGACATGATTTCTGAAGGGGGGAATCAAAAAAATAAAACGAGAGGGAAAAATTGGAAATTCCCCCACCCTCTGAAAACTTTTTACTTAGGTAATCAAATATTTAGGGAACAATGAATATAATTTGAATTGATTCAAAATTTACATCAAACACAATAATATATATGAAAGATTATCCACTCCAATTCTAATGGGAGGGATATTACCCCCCCCCCCCCCTTGAATACGCCACTGATGTGACGGCTGTATAATATTATACTCAACAGCCGAGTCCGACTAGTCGTCGACGATAACATTTTGTAGGTACAACAAGTGTGACAGGTCGACGAAATATTATTACTTTTTTACTATAAGTTACCTATAATATGTATAAGTGTATAACATGGTATTATGGTGTACTGTATTCCGTATTATGTACTTTAGAGTTTAGAATACGACGAACGGCAATATAGTATAAATGTGGGCTATGGCTGACAAAACACATTGTTTAAATCTACCTATCACTGTAAAATTGTATTAAAGTTATGCCACAGCAGAAGACATAACGTTTTGGATTTTAATTTTTTATTTATTACAATAATTATAATAATATGTGGGGGGTTTGTTTTAGCAACCGGCAACCGAAAAAAATCACGAAATGTGAGACTGCAGCTTCGTCTGCCACGAGTTTAGATCTACGGTATGGAATAAAGTATATAATAAAGTGCATTGTTACGATACAGAAGTCTGTGAAATGAATATTTTGATAATAATTTGATAATATTATGCGATCGTCGATAAAGCGTCTGTAAAAGTCAAAACAATTATTATTATAATTTCACGAATAGATTTGTCGCGCAGGTTTCGTTTCAAAACTATGTCGGCATCGTAATATAAGTGTACCTAATATAGGTAAGATGCATCTCATGCCCATTATGTATAACTTTTCAATATTTACATACTTAATTAAGCCAATTGTAAAAATAGCTCATATATTTATAATAACGATAGCAAAATAATTAAGAAGATAATAAGTGTAAAAGACCCGAAACCGACTGAGCCGAAACGTGTAATGACGACTCAAAACAATAATATTAGCGACAGAAATATTATGATAAAAATAGTATTTCAATAATATCTAGGGATTTAACTTATGGTATTATAGGTACCTCTTATAAAATATTACGCACACCAGCGGGGGAGACCAACTCGGCGGGGCTTAAGGGTATTATAGGTAGTGTTCACAAACAATTTGAACCACGTAAAATATATTTTAAAATTGTATTATAAAAATTCAAAATAATATCGGAACATGAGAACGATGAAATAATATAGGTAATCACAAAAAATATGTTATAGGTAACACATTTTATGATTTTGAAATAAGACAAATAAGTCACAGACGGTCAGACGGATTTAATCAAATATAATATCGTCACTGAGTAACATGTTTTTTTCTACTGTGTAACACTGTAAAAAATAATATAGTCTTTAAAACGGTCACAATTTATGTTACTTTATTAAATATTAATTAAATAAAATGTTACGCATTGTAAAGAAACCAAATAATTCGTCCCTGAAAAAGCAAGAAAAATTTTATTTTATTCTTACTCTACTGAAAATATTTAGCAAAAGTGGCTTTTAATAGAACACTCACTAGCTTCAGTTTTTGTATTTTCTTTTTCTTTTTAGTTTAAATTGTCGAGACTAATTGTTTTTACAGTCTAATAATAAAAAAATTAATTTTTTTAAATTTCATCAAATAGACGGTAAACATAATTTTGTCAGATCGTCTTTTTGGACCGTACCACCGTAACTCGATCCAACCTCTAAGTTGGTGTAATGGTGTGTGATGAAGTGATTTTTTTTAAACTGTATTATTATTATTATTCACGTCGCAGTTAACGGAGCGGCTCGCGAAGCTTTAGTCATCGGCCACCCCCAAAGGCATAATATTGTACACCGACACACATTGACACGTTGAGCATAATATATACACATTACACATATAGGTATATTATATCTAATGTATATCTAAATATAAAGGTATATATAGGTGTCTTTTGCATCCTGAACGTAAATAAACGGAAAATACTATAGATATTTACAAATTCTATAGTATTTGATAAACGCAATACGCAAATACCTAATTGGAATTAATAATTCAGCTTTTAAAACGTGAACACAAATTATAGCCTCATGAATTGAAATCTTTAAAGAGTGCAGCGTAATAATTTTCAAAAAAAAAAAAAAATTATGGATCGGAATAAAATACGCGATACAACCGAAAACCCGTATAATACTTCTAACGGTAATAATAATTACTATGGTAAAATTTAAAAAAAAAATTTTTAATTCCTCGATTTTTTTTGCATATATTTTATATTGAATTTGCGTGGTTAATCAATTTACTATACATTTTGGTAAATATTTTAAATTGTTACAAGATATTAACATAATTATCTACTCGTTAAATTTGAAATACATTTACAATATAGCATTGCAAAATAGGTATGGGCTTTGAAGAATGAAATAATATTACATTGTTGGTCATGACTTCACATGACACGGCCACAAAATTGAAATCTCCAATCAATATTTTTAAATCGGGACATTTTTTATCGGGTAAATTATTGTGAAAAATTTTTATTAATCGCCATACAATTTCACTAAACGTATATATTATACACTAAACAATTTTAAAATCCGGAAATACTCTCTTATATATAAAAAAAAAAACTGTAAATACATGCAAAAATGGTTACCAAAATGTTTAGTAACTTTATCTTGGCCTAGCAATAAATCCTAAGGTCCTAGATATCATATACTATATATTACTAATATTACTTATATACTGTTCACTATAAAATTACTAAATTATACAAAAATAATATAATATTCACTTGATCACTATGGTCGGTTGGTTGGTCATTTCGACTGCCTGGCGATGTTATCCCTGTCGTCTCGTCGTGTCGCTATATACTGTCGGTCGCTGTATAATATTGTTGTAATATTTATGTACTGGCTGCAGCACGCGGCCGACGGATCCCGCGCTACCTAACGATAATAATAACAATATGACGTTAAGCAGTTGAACATAATATTTAAATACCGACAACAATAACAATAACAATAATGCTACGATGACACGCGGGTCGTCGCGGGCCCCGCCGAGTCTTACAAATCGTTTAAATTTTCCTGGAAAATCACGAGTGGCGGCGATTACTCGCCCTCGCCGTATACACCGTCGAGCGTGGATAACAGCACGTCGTGGTATTCGATCCGCGCTCGACGGTGCGGCGGCTTATTTTTATGGGGGAAAAAAAAAAAAAAACAAAAATTCGTACGCACCTCGCAGGAAAATCGGACAGATGAAAACACGCGTAACGTACGGCAAAATTTTTCACGACGATACGATAATTTTTTATAATAATATCGTGTGCACCGTCGGTGGTTGGTGGTGCGTCGACGGCGGTGGTGTCGCGTACTCGGTGCAGCGAGCGATGTTATATACTGCGTCCGACGGCCGGCGTGACGAGAGTGACGGCGGCCCGAGAGACTGCGACGACGACGGACGGACGCGGCGCGGGTCGTGTCGCGACGGTGCGACGGCAGCAGCGGGAGAGTGTATGATTATACGCTGCTCGTCTAATGAATGGTATGGCGTCGTCGTCGTCGTGTTTGAGTAGAACGACGTTTACGCGCCTTCCGCAGACGCCGTGGCCGCACCTGAAACTTTCGGGTCCGAAACGGCCCCTCCCCTCGACGACCGCCACCCCCCGACCGGCACTCGGCTGACCGACCGACCGATGGGCAGGTAGGTACATCATAATATTATTTTTATACGATATTATTATGTGCACGTGACGTTATGATATTATTATTGTGTTGTACCGTCGCTGAAGTCACTTAAAGTGCAAGTGGAAGGAGGCAAGGGTGCACTAGTCCCCGCCGCACACGTATTCGGACATAATTTTGTTATTTTTGGACGATTTAAATATTTAACGTTTATTGATTATTATGCTTTAATTTTCCAGATGAATAATAATATTTTTTTGTCGTCATAATTTAATTTTGCGGATTATATTTTAATACACTGCGTTTACATCGCTACGGTGAAAACTATATCTGAAAGCTACCTATACCTACTCGTATACAGGTGAGATATAAAAATAAAAATTTTAAATAAACCTCTATGCGTCAGTTTTAAATGATAAAATATTTTGAAATGCTCACTAATAATATTATTATATATAATAGCTGTTATGAAATTGTTAATTATTTTATAAATATAAAATATATATATTTAAAGGGATTTTAAAAACTTGTTTTTACGTGCTCGTACATTATTTAAATTGTTTATACACATAACCGACCATTAAAAAAATCGAAAAAAATTGTCCCTCAATTCAAATGTAGTCACTTATTATTATAACGTAGGTACCTTTACAATCTCTACATTCCGGGGAACTATATTATAATGTAGTCTATAGTCCAGGCGAACCCATGGCACGCGTTACAAAAGTGACAAAGTTGGCCCAATTTTAACAGTAAGTGAAAATATTTTTATTTAGTTGTTCAATCTTGTGTTTAATGACAAAAAAATCTTTATTATAGGTAGGTACTAACTTTGAAAGCTCGGATCTAACTTGAGAAAAATGTGTCTATTCAACAATATAGGTACACTCAAATGTCAATATTTGTAACAACAATTAAATGTGAATATTTATTTTCCACGAATGCGATTAAAATATCAAATGTAAACATATTTCTTAATTAATAAATAGTATTCCTAAAATACAGATACATTATTGATGGGTGAAACCAGTGCTACTTGAATTTCGCTACCATTGTAAAGTCTATACCAATTACCAATGATTATGTATTACTATAGTCTATAAGGCATATATAATAAATTATGTCAATACCTATTCATGTTTGGGTAATTGGGTACATATGGGTGTTAGTGTTAGTGTGATAGATCGTTTGGAAACTTGGTACGTTTGAAGTAAATAATTTTTTACTACACATTGAGACCTACCCAATCGATATTATAATATAAATGCCGATTAAGTTTGACGTTTGTGAACTTTGAGCTGTAGATGAAAATCTGATTTTTTTCTTTTTGAACAATTTTGAACTTTAAAATGTTTTATATTAATCCGGTAAAAGGGCTGCATACTAGTTGCGGTCATGACGATTTTTGAGATAAACGGATATAACAGTTGCGGTCACGCCAATTTAGGTAATATCTTAGTTGCGGTCATAGCTTTATTATACTCCAATTCTTCCATAACACGAACAACCAATGCATGCGAAAGCTTTCATTCAAAGCTCAATAGCATGTCTTACCACTCTCACCCTAATATTTTTATATTTATTGACGCTTTAAATGAAATTCAAACGAATGGATATTTAAAAATGAATTGTACAAAAAACAGTCGTGTTAATAAAAAGTCAATAGAAAAAGAGCATTTTTTAGCGCAACAAATACAGTATTATGAAGAAGGCGAAATAAATCGGCTTGAATTTCTAAAGTCGATTTCCTTTAAATTTATACCAACAAAATTTTAAAATTTACACAATTTATATAATAATAATTATTTGACATTATTATACATATTATATTATATTATACTTTGACACAAGTTTAAACATAAGTATCAACATTTTTAACCATACATACACAATAAATAATAGTGTAGACAGTCCTAAGTCTGTTATCTTTTCGATATAAATGGGAAGGAAAATGTTGATTTGATGTTTGATATTAATTTCATATTTAATTATTATATAAACTATATTATATTATATTATTTAGTATACTTAGTTATTATTATTTGAGTAATAATATGTAACTATACTAGTATGTAACCTTTTTGTTGGGTGACCGCAACTAGTATGTAACCTTTTTGAGGGGTGACCGCAACTAGTATGTAATTTTTGATTATGACCGCAACTAGTACACACCGGGTAAAAGACCAGAATAGAAACCAGAAGGGTCTAATACAACATTATACGTGTAAAAATTAATATTTTATCGAATTCATTCGATGACATCATTGGTAGGTAGTTAATATTATTTAGTGCTTTGTTCTAATAACATTTTTATTATGAGTTTACTAAGATAACATATTTTTCTAAATGCAATTATTTCAAGTCGCACAATTTAACCCTAATAGTAGGTAGGTATGTGTAAAGTGTATTATAATCTGTCGGTTTATCGCAGGAAAAAGTGAATGCGTAATAGGTACCTGTTTAGAATTTTTAATGCAATTTTCGGTACATATTTGATGTGTTTTAAAACGCACTTATAAGCTATTATAATACGCACACATCACACGCACGTGTTCTGCAGCCATTTATTTATTTTTATTTTTTGAACATGACAAGTACCTAGGTAATAGGTTGTAACCATAATATTATTATTATTATTATTATTAAAGTTGTACTGTGCGAGTTAATTGACCAATAATTACGCTCCAAAATTCTATTTTCGTAACATATAATTTTTTATGTCCTCGTACGCAATTGATGATTACATTACACATTAGTGGTGCATGTACACCTACCTATATAATATTATGTATCTGAATAATATTATATAATATACCTACGCACGCCACACAATCATACACGCATATCATTTAAACTGTTATCAAACGCGGGCGTATAGTATTTGTTTTGTTTTTCAGATGAAAATAATTAATTCAAATTACTATCCGAACGAGAAGAGTTCAGGGATAAACGGTTTCATGTGCGGGTACTCGCATTATCCAATATGGCGTATAATATAGTCGTACCTGATGTGTATCTTCGAGTACTTCGAGACTATTTAATTCCCCGACGAGAAAATAATGTGTTATTGTTTATTTCTTTTAGATTCCGAGCCGAGCGAGGGACCTAGTGGTTTTACAATGGTGTTTATTTATTTTTTTTTTATCCTGTATACAAAATTTCTACCAGAAGGAGTGCTTCGATTTCAACATAATATTATAGTATCTTATCTTTTAGAAAATTGGATCAAGATGGTACTTTAAAGAAGTCATTTTTCGATTTTCTCAATAGTTATTTAATGCCAAGGGAAACCACCTACAAATTACGAAAAATCGCTAAAAATGGGATTTTAATTTCTAACTCTTTGTGTATCACTATAGAAACAAAAAAAAAATAAAAATAACGATTTTAGTTATTTTTTGGTAATTTATAATATTAATTCAACATACAGCCTATAATAAAATATAATAACAAAATAAAATATATAGACCGTCTCCGTTCAAAATCGTTTTTCTTATACAATAATATTATATCATTGAATTCAAGTTTAATACAATCCATTATACATTGACCAATTGTAATCTTATGTACAGTAGAGCGACATCCACTTACCTGCTTTTTTTGTTTTGTACCTATCAATAATTGGCTATCATCACTATTAGGTATACCACCGTTTACACCCAGGCCATTCACCAAGCATGTTCACCCCCATATTTTCGTTGAATAACGAATTCGTTTAAATCGTGATATTTGTAATTTTTAAATATACTTGAGGACCATATTTCCAAATACTTTTTTTTTGTGAACTGTTAAGGAGAGGTTTTTTTTTTTAATGTCGGTGTACCTACATAAATCGAAATTTGAGCTTTTATAGTTTCAGAGTTGTTAATCTTTGAATACCTGTTGAGGATAATAGACAGTGATTATAGGCTTAGAAGCCCCCCACTATGATGATTGAAAGTTATAGTAACTAATATTAATGTATTAAAAATTTGTAATTAGTAATAAGTACTAGACTAAATATTAATCTATTTTATATTTTATGTAAAACCATTAAGGACTATAATATTGTTATCCTTGATGCATAATATTATAGTCCTTAATAACTCTGAAACTTCTCGTTCGACTTTCGATTAATATGTATCAACATTATAA